TGTGAACTCAAGCCATTAGCTGATGGACATCTCTACACTGGTGTTCTCAGGTTCCCTGACATTCCACCCCTTTGTACTTTTTGGCAGTGACACCAGTGCCTCTCATGCTTTTGGGGGGGAAATACAATTTTACTATAGTTGTCTCAGGACTGTTAGTTTCCTCCAGAAATCCTATCATTATTTGATCACTTCTTTTTTTGTATTTGTAAGCTATGTTGGCAGTTTGAATCCACCAGTCGCTCCATGGGAGAAAAGACCTGGTGATCTGCTCCCATAAATATTACAGCTTAAGAAACCCTATGGGGTAGTTCTACTCTGTCCTATAGGGTTACTATGAGTCAGAATCAACTCGAGCGCACACAAAAATGCAAGTTATGTTTGGTAAGATAGAAGGCCAAAGAAAATGAGGGAAACCCTCAATGAAATGGATTGGCACAAATAGTCGTAACAATTGACTGATACATTCAAATGATCTTGAAGATAGCGTAGGACCAGGCAACGTTTCATTTTGTTATACCTAAGTTTGCCATGAGTTGGAGCTGACTTGATTAACAACAAGAACCTCATATTTTATGACACATAATCTGCCAGGACTTTGGGATTTAGTATGTCATAACAACAAAACTAAGCCTGGACTTATACTGTTTATAGGACAGAAAATGAACGTGGTGCAAATAATGTGTCAAAGACAACTTTCTTAAATTGTATTATGTTATTCATTAGAGAACATCAAGCAATAATGGTATTGTGATAATGGGAATTTTCAGTGTTTTGGAGTTCTTGAGTAGAAACTTACTATTTGTGGTGAAATGAGTTTCTTTTTGTGGCCTTTTGCCTTGGTTCTTTGGAAAAACAGCTAGAGAGAATTTCCCCTAAGCCCTGAGGAATTGACTTTGCCCTAGTTTTCTACCCTAGAAGGTTTAATACTCTTGTCCAGGTTGATTGACATTTCCTGAGTAAGCTGTAAACAACTTGATGGTTTGATACTTTTCATCTGGCCCTGGGCTGCAACCTGCCCTGTGATTGTTCTATTTTATGAACCTTGCAGGGATTCGTCAGTGTACTTATGCAAATGATGTGACTATAGCATACTTCTGCAAATGAAGTGACTGTGGCCTACCAAGAGGGGATTGGCCATTTCGTGGCCCTAGTGGGAGGGCCATGCCTTGAAATTGACCAGAAGTTTGCTTATATATGCAGCCAACCCCACAGAGGTTTACAGAAAGAGAATAAAGAAGGAAATGAGAAAAGGCAAGAGAGAAGAAGCAGAGAGAGAGGAGGCATGGAGCCTCCTAAAAGACATGTAACAAAGGTCAAGGGCTGTGACACTGAAGACAGCAACAGGCCCAGAAGGAGCACTGTGACGGAGCCTGCAGTGAAGCCGGCCACAATAGGACCAGAAGAGGCCCTGAGGCAGAGTCAGTTTTGATGACAGAAACCTGCTGCTAAGAATGCAGCTAAAAGAGTTGAACAAAACTGCTACACTGGCTATGAACTGGGTTAGTTTGCAGTGGAGTGGCCTATGGTAAGGAGGCTGATGGCAGAGAAGCCTGCCCTGAGTCGGCCGAGAGGAGGCCTGTCCCCAGGGGGCTGGGAAGAACCCTCTCTTGAGGGGGCTGAGAGGAGGCTGCATGGCAGAAAGAAAGACCTGCTTGCTGAAATGGTCCAGAGGAATGGAGAGAGCTGTCCTGCACTGAAGAAGGGAGGGATGTGCTCTCCACTTTGGGGAAGGCTTCCAGACTTTGCCTGCATGCTTCCTGATCCTGAGTTGTAGCTTGTTGATCCTGATCCTGAGATGTACCCTTTTCCTTAATAAACCACTTAACTGTGAGTATGATCTGTGAGTTCTGTGTGCTTATTGCAATGAATTATCGAATCCAACAGAGAAGTAGAGAGTGCCATGGGGAGAACGGCTGATATCGGAATTGATAAAAAATCGATAAAAAAAGTTTGGAGAGTGGAGGTGTGTCTGATCTCCACCTCTGCTTTGTGCTGATCTTCATTCTCATTATCCCCCCTGAAGTTAGATAGGTTCTGATGCTACTACTATTCAATTGATTTAAATGCTACTACTACACTAATGACTTAAAATCTGAGGTGACACCAACAGATTTATCAAGTGAGGAATGTTTCAAGTGGAGAGAAAATGACCTAGGAATACCTTGAGTTGGGAAGGCACATGTGGACTTCACAGAACTGAAGGAAGTTCAATATGTTTGCAGTGTGAGGTGGAGAGACTGGGTAGGAGTGAAGCAAGGAATATAGATGGTGTCTTCTGGCAAGTATAGGAAGTTACATCAAAGATCAGAAGTTTTACTTGTACGCAAATGTTCATTAAAACACTTTTCACGTGGAAACAACTGTATTGTCCACCAACAGATGAATGGATAAACAAAAGAGACAATGGAATATTATGCAGCTGTAAAGAGATATGAAGTCCTGATGCATGGCACAACATGATGAATCTTGAAAATGTGCTGAGCAAAATAAGTCACAAAAGGACAAATACTGTATGATCTTATGTGAACTAAACAAATACATAGAAGCCAAAGATTATTAATTGTTAACAGGGGTGGTTGGGAGGGGAGAAAGGGGAAGTTTTTATTTGGAGGGCATTGAGTTTATGTTAATGGTGGTGGAATATTTTGGGAAATGATAGTGATAATGGTGGAGCAACATGAAAAATGTAATCAATGTCATTGAATAGTGAATGTAGAAATTGTGTTGACTAACGTTTTGGTGTATATTTGCGCCACAGTTTTAAAAAATCATAAGTTTTAATAGCCTACATATCCAATAACAGATGAATAGATAAACTAAATGTATCTATCTGCAAATGAATGGAACATTTCTTGACCATAAAGAGAAATGAAGTCCTGATACATGCTACAACATGATAAACCTTGAAAACATTATGCTGAGTGAAATTGGTCACAAAAGGAAAAATATTGTATAATCCCACGTATATGAAATGAATAGGCAATTGCATAGAGAACAAAGTTTATTAGTGGTTTAGGAGTGGACAGGAGGGAGGGAGAAAGAAAGACACTGAGCTTCTGTTAAGGGGGATGGAAAAATTCGGGAAAGAATAATGGTGATGGTTGAACAACATTATGAACATAGTGTTACTGAACTGTTCATGTGAAGATTGTTGAAATGGCAAATGTTTTGTTGATATATATTTATCACAATAGTAATAATGATAAAGAACTTTTCATAGGAGACAATAGGTCTCTGAGAATTTGAATCAGGCTGGAGAAATTACCCAAATTGCTTATACATTTTTAAATTGAATCCTAAAAAATAATGTTTAATGTATGTAAATATAAAACCTGTATCTACATTGTCTAAATAACATTTTAATGCAATATAATTAGGTAACATGATTGTAATGAATGAAAAATAAAGATGAAACATCCATTTCTTGAGAGCAACACTGTATTTCATAAGACCTGTTTCTTTTCTCCATTAGTCTGTAAGAGGATTGTAAGCACTTGAAAATCTACACATTTTCTTTAGAGGTTTATTTTGTTGGGTTAATATACTTCATGGGGTGCAAGGTTTTACATAAGCCCTCAGTGGCTTACCTAGAGAGCCACTTGAGTGGGCCTCCATTAAAGGGGAACATAGAATTGTTTAAATGCTTCCAGAACAAAATCATGAACATTAAAATCTTGTCTAATTGAACAATCACTAAATTTTTGGCGGGCCTATTTTATTTTTCAAAAATGCACATGTGAATATTTTTGTGCTTATAATCCTGTAACAGTCTGTGAGGGGCCATCCTCTTTCCCTGTTTCCTCAATTTACATACTTACAGTGAGAAACTTGCAGATAATTCTTACATCAGTTGATTTAAATATACGTTGTTGCTCGGTTTTCAACTCATAGCCGCCCTATGTACAACACAGCAAAACACTGCCTAGTCCTGCGCTATCCTCACAATAATTCTTATGCTTGAGCCCATTGTTGCAACTACTGTGTCAATCCATCTCATTGAGGATCTTTCTCTTTTTCACTGACCCTCTACTCCACCAAGCATGATGTTCTTCTCCAGGGCTTGGTCCCTCCTGATAACATGTCCAGAGTATGTAAGGAGAAGTCTCACCAGCCTTGCTTATAATGAGCTTTCTGGCTATACTTCTTACAAATTAATACAATATTTCTGTAAAAAATTTGTAAAACAATGAAACAAATTTTAGAGAATAGATAAGATCTTTGGAATTTCAATTTGTGCCTCAATATATAACAATTGTTAAGATGGTCTTTTTCTTTGAGATGGCCTTTGAACTTTGAGATAAGTGTCAGATTCCTAAAAAGAATAGATCTTAGGGTATGGAGAAAGAAATAATATGCTAATACTTCTGATTGGGTTGGACACAATCACTGACTATACAGGTGGGAGAGATGTTTTGTGGCAAGAAAAGTCAGAGTTCCACCTTTGTCCACCTGCTTCAGGCTGGTGGTATACCACCCCTCTTCTATTTCCCCTCTACCCACCATAGCCCCGTCTGAAGTCTTTTTCTTTTGTCCCTAACCCAACATACGGAAACTCACAAAATTCATTCTGACGACTCAGGCTGCATATAATTTAACAACAATAATGTTTATTAGTTTTCAGCCCTGAGTGAATGCATTTTGTATCTACATACTATGGAATGATATATGTAATTTGATCTTTAGCCTAGGAAGGCATCTGAAATGTGAAATAGTATCTCTAAACATTGGTGATTAATTGTAGACAACACACCCCAGAAATCTACCTTCGGCCCTTTAAGAAGGAGCGAAGCCCCTCGACCGTCCCAAGAGGCTGGGTAAGCCAATTCCCACGCCGTTTACAGTGTCTTTGGGCCTTCATTCCAGAGTCTTAAAGGGAGTCGCCCCAAATTGCGGGCTGTGGAGACGCAGAAACTACACTACCCAGATTGCTGTGCGACTAGCAGCAACGGCTTGAACCAATGGAAGCCCAGAAAAGGCATTTCCGCTCATGCGCATGCGGCCCAGGAGGGACTTCCGGCGTCATCCGTGCAGTGATCGTTTCGGCAGCTGTTGAGTGCTGGTTCCGTTCCGTGGTGAAGTAACCGGGAAGCGGCGACAGGACTCCTGGTCCGGACCACACAGAGGCGGGTCTGAGGCTGGGAGGTGGCGCCATCCGGGGTGACCCACGCCACGGCCGGCAGACCTACGGCGCCGCGACCACGCTCCGCCCTCAGCCTCCCTGGCGGCCGCCGCGCTGAGGGACCCGGTTCAGGTGAGTGAGCGTCCTCCAGGCCCTCCCCGTCCTGAACCACATCTCCAAATCCTCGAGCCCGAATGGGGCCCCTGCTTAGGTCCCTGCAGCCCAGACCCTGGTCCTGCACAAGGAGGCACTCATGGTGGGGACCCGGTTTCCTGAGAACTAGTGCGATGAGGGGTGAGGGAGACCCCCGGCACAGGGTAAAGGCTGGGGGTGCAGCTGAGCCAGAGCAACAGGAAAACCTGGGGTCTGTCGTGTGTCTGCAGGGAACAGAGAGTGTTAGGAATCGCGCCTCCATAGCAGGCTGGGGAATTGTGCGTTCATTTTCAGGACGCCGGGAGCCATGGAGGGTTGTGAACAACAGGGAGATGGTCTGAATTAAGCTTTTAAATGTGTTCCAGAAGGTGTTAAGAGGGAGAGTAGACTGAAGGGGGATGATAACAGTGAGGCCCAGGGAGGGTGAGTCCTTCTCCAAGGTAAAAACAGCTCTGAGATATGAGGACCTGAGATAAACGCAACGATTCCCAAGGTCACCTGACTCCTTGGCATAGGAAGTATAGGAAGGCGTAGAGGGAGGCTCAGCCCCTGGAGTCCAGCCATGGTCGACTGCTCTCATATCTCCCTTTTCCCACAGCTTCCCATGGCTGAAGAAGTGCTTACTGATTCTACACTGGTGAGTGGCAGGTGTCCCAGAGCCCCACTACTCCCGAAGTCACCCATATGGTCTCTAGGTTTGTGCTGTCCTGGGACTCTTCACCTGCAACTCTTCTAGCCCTTGAGCCTGGGGACCCTGAACACATTCAAAGCTTAGGGTACTGAGTTGAGCTGAGGGGTTGTATGGTGTGTTTCCTGTTGTTGGTTACCATGAAATGAGGTCTGGAAGGTTGTCCCAAGCGTAGGTGCCAGTATGTGCAAATGGCTTGGAGGTGAGGCTGAGCTGGAAGTGTTCAGGGTCTCCATTAGTTAGGTCTCCATTCTTTTTCATAGGAAGAGAGACGGGGCAGAGTCAGGCTTGGAATGGCTTCCGGAGAAGTTGAGCATCTATTCTGGAGGTGATGGGAACAGTGGGAGCTTTGGAGCAGGGAGGGAGGTGATCTGACCCAAGGTGTCTTCAGGGTCCCCAGGCTTAAGGGCTAGAGGAGTATCAGGCTTCCTGATGCTGTAGCATGGAGACCAGACTGTTGGGGGTGGTGGCAGGTGGTAGGAAGATCAGGGAGGAGACTACTGCAGTAGTCCAGGTGCATGTTGATTGTGGTTGGATCAATGTGGTGACTGTGGTGGAGAGAGAAATGATTGGATTCTGGTTTTCTTTTAAGTAGGCTTGCCTGGATTTTCTGATTTTGAGTGTGACAGAGAAAAGGTAAGAGTCAGGGATAACTCTATGCTCTTTAGTTTCTACACCTGGAAAGATGTAAGATCCACTGACTTAGATGAAGAGTTGGTAGTAGGAGTAATTTTGGTTAGGGATCATAGGTGTTTTCTTTTGGCCATTATGAGTGTAAGATCTTCAGAAAACAAATGAGTGGAAGTATCAAGTGGGCAGCTAGACACACGGGTCTGGAACTCTTGGGGAGAGTTTCAGGATGAAGACATCTCCAAAAGGTGGCAGACAGTGTGTAGACCAGGTGGAGCGAGGAGTCACATCTAGTAATGAGAACCCTGTCATGGTGGCAATGCTAGTAGCCAACTGGAAAGGAGAAGGTTGTAACCAAGAAATGGAACTCTTGCTAGGGTGCCTGGTAATGTTAGTGTGCCTCACAAACACAGTTGAGTGAGAGATGTGGCCATGGAAAGATTGTGGGAAAGAGGATGATCAGGCAGGTGGCTGAGGTTTCTAAGAGATGAGTGGTCATGAGACAGATGCGGAGGCACAGAAATAATAGAGACAAGATGACAGTTTGCAGCTAGGACTTATTGACCTCTCTGTGGACTCACCAGCATTTTCTTGTGACCCTGGTGGGGTCTGAGGTGCTGTAGTCAGGTTGGTAGATTAGCTCAGAGGCACAAGTGGTAAATTGTAGAGTCACTGGGCCAGAAGTGATGGAGGGCCATTACAGTCTGGTTTTGAAGGAGGCTTCGTTGGAGAGAGGAAGGCTGTGACTGGTGAGGGTCAGCAAGTGGAGGAGCCACAGGTTTTCTAGCTCAACAGGTGGTTCTGGTTGGCTGAGTTTGAAGCAAGTAACGGAGTGGGCAGGGAGGCCTTCACAGCAGGATTCAGGGCTGCCCCTGGCAGTGGCAATCGTCAGAGGTCTGGAGTAGTACTGGTTCCTGTTTGAATGTGCCAAGCCCTCTCTGGATGCCATGTGTACAGTTACATGGGGACATCAGGGAGATGGTATGGTGTGGGGACGGGAGGGGGAAGAGGCTGTGGGAGAGACTGGGACAAAGAGTGTTGTGCACATGGAAAAGAATGTGAACTGATGACCCCAGAACTCTTGTGTTGGGGACCTAAGGCTGAAGGTAAGCCTATATTTGGTTGTGTCTGGGAGGCTTGATCTTGGAGACCGCAGGGAACTGCCTGACAAGAGGGTGCACACGTGGCCCTGTATGCCAGGCCCAAAGCTTAGATATCATTTCTCTGACCATTTGCCTGTTGTTGTTGGCTGACACAGTGATCAGTGGGACCATGAGGAGAGAGCAGATGTCAGTAGCACCAAGGCTTGGCATCTCCTTTGAGGTGGGGAACTGAGGAGGAGGGTGAGTAGGGGATTGATATCTGGGGGATACATAGAGTCCTAGGAGAAAAGCTAATCATGGAATGAACTGTTGTCCCCATCGTGGCAGGGCTGTGTGACCTTTGAGGATGTGGCCATTGTCTTCTCCCAGGAGGAGTGGGGGCTCCTTGATGAGGCTCAGAAGGTGCTGTACTGTGATGTTATGCTGGAGAACTTTGCAATCATAGCATCATTGGGTAAGACCCTCACACCTACCCCAGTGTGCTGAACTGGTTTCTTTCTTCTTTTCTCCAGAGACAGCCAGATCATGAGTATCGCTGACTTGTAGCCTTTTTGGCATATGTGCTGTGGGTGCCAGTGGTGAACTAGATACTGCCCTGAACAGTGTACTCCCTGAGAAGCCCTAACACCTGCTTCTCCACAGCGTGCAGGGAAGAGTCCAGAAGTCAGGAATCTTCCGTTCAGCCCAGTGGATCCCACCTTGCTTATCCTTTCCCTGCCAGGGTGAAGTGTTCATATCCACATGACCTCTGTGCCCCAGGCTCTGCCCCCTTCCTCTAGCTGACTTTTCTTCCTGCCTGCCTGTGACAGGAATTGCAGGTATTTTCATAATCATGACTTACATGGACCTAGGACTGTTCTTACATGATCCTCCTTCCATGTTTTTTTGTACTATTAGTTTTTTTCTTGTGGTCAGTTTTGTGCTGAGTTGTTCTGGGCCAGTGCGGGCCACGCCTCTCCTGTCTTTCTTTTATGACTTGCCTCATGCAGGTCACATCATGAGGATGGGAGTTGAGGGAGAGCCGGATTGCTTCTCAGGGTGGACATAGCAAACAGTCTCAAAGGAGTCCTGGCACTGCTGAGCCACAGCTGGGGAGGGAATGACAGAGCTGTGATAAGATCATACCAGAAACCTTTCCTGTGTCCGCCAGTGTTTTGCTGTAAAAGCCAGTGGCTACACATCATTTCTACCTTTTCTTTCCTATGCTTGACAGTTGTTGACTTGTCATTTGAACTCTGACTTCCACCCCATCCTGTCTCCAACTTTCTGATCTCCATCTGTCACCTGTTCCTCTCCATTGCTCCCTCTGCAATGTTCTCCGACAACCCAAACAGTATGTTGTGAAGTTGTTCATATCCTTAAATAGTCCTTCAACACCAGCTACTGAATTTCAGCTGTATTTTCCTGGGCCTGTACACAACGAACCATCTGTAAATCATGCACGCATCACCAGTTGAAAAGGTGCTGATGAAGACTGATAGCAGAGGAATGTGTTGGAGACCCGTGGGGTTTACATTAATTTTACCCCAAGAATTTGGTCTTTACCTTCTGTTCCTGAGAGATAATCTCTAAAAACAAACCAAAAAAACCTTGGAATGTAAGTGTCTTTTGTAAGTACTCCAGACCACACCTAACTGACTGGTAATGCTGGTAAGGTAATAAGGTGACTCTGGAATGGGGGCTGGGAAGACCCAGTGCATAATATCTCATGATCACCTCATGATATTGGCTAACCTCAGGAGAGAGGCTGTAGTTTGTATTTCATAATGAGGCCCCAATAAAGGCTCTGGACACTGAATCTCCTTGGGCTTCCTGGTTGGTGAAAGACATCCATGGACTTGGGAGGGTAGCTCATCCCTTTTTGGGACATGAAAGCTTCACATTGTGAACCCTCATAGGCATTGCCCTATGCGTTTCTTGGTTATATTCTTTTTTCTATAATTGTAAGTATAACACTTTCAGTGAGTTCTCTGAGTCCCTCCAGTGAACTATCGAACCCAAGGGAGTAGTGAGAGCCAGCAGGTCTGGGTTGACAGGGAGCTGGGAACCCCGTAACTCATGGCTGGTATCCTGAAGGGGTAGAGGGAATCCCCAAATTTGTAGCCAGCAGGTCAGAAGTGAGGGAGCCCAGAGGAGGTCCCTAAGCTTGTGGATGGCATCCTGAAGGGATAATGAGAAAACTGCATATCTGTAGCCAGTAGGTCACAAGTTAGGGTGTTGTACGGACTCCCAAACTTGCAGTTAGCATCAGTAGCCTTAGGCCTACTTGGCAGTCTGAAAGACTGTGTTCTTTAACTTGTGAGGTCTGACCTAGCTCCAGGGGTTAAGGTCAGAGGGAGAAGTGCTGATGTGCAGCTGGGGTCAGAACAGAAGTGGAACAGAACTAAACAGAGAAGTGAAAAATAATGTGGGGAAAAAGTGAATTTGAAAGTGGATTTGATGGATTCTCTCACCCTGCCTCTTCTTCCTGAGCTGCACCCCATCCATCTGTCCCTCCTCTGGTGAACCCTCCTCAATTCTGTGATAGTTAGATGACCAGTACTGCAAAGCAGCCCCTTCCTGAACCTGCGTGCAGCTCCCTCATCCTCAGAGCAATCCCATGGACTCTTTCCAATTTGCGTCTGACACATATCTGTGATGGGGATTCTCCCTCCCACCATTGTCAACTTGAATTGTCAGCATTTCTCTGATTTCAGGTTGTTGGCATGGAACGGAGGAGAAGGAGGCATCTTCTGAACACAGTATTTCTTTAGAAGGAGTGTCACAGGTCAGGACTCCACAGGCAGATCCGTCCACCCAGAAGACTCAACCCTGGGAGATATGTGTCCCTGCCTTGAAAGACATTATGGCTGAGCACAAAGCAACAAACCCTAGGCAGAACCTGTGTTTGGGTGGGGCATGTGTGAGAGCCTCTTGGCTCAGTACAAAACCTCCCCAACACCAAAAGCATCACAGTGGAGAGAAACCCTTCAGGAGGGATGTGGACGGGGCCTTGTTTGTGAAGTGCTGTAGATTCCAAGAGTCATGGCAGCACTTCACCCATGGGGAGGTTGGGAAGGACTCTACTGTCCCCTTAAATCTTTTCCAATACGAGGTTAATCCCAATGGTGAGAAGCCACTAAGCAGCCTTGAGTATGGGGAGGCCTTTCACTGTGGAAAGAGTCGTTACAAGTGGGAAGAATGTGGGAAAGGTTTTAGTCACAAACACACACTTAGTCACCACCAGAGCATCTGCACTGGAAAGGGGCTTTGTGAGGGTAGCAAATATGGAAAAGCAGTCAGCTGCAAGCACGGACTTGTTCAGCAGCAGAAAGTTCACACTGGAGAAAGGCCATATGAGTGTGGTGAATGTGGGAAATTTTTTAGCCTGATCTCCAGCCTTATTAGACATCAGAGAATTCATACTGGGATAAGACCTTATGGATGCAGCGAATGTGGAAAATTCTTTGCTCACAACTCAGTTCTCATAAAACACCAGAGAATTCACACTGGAGAAAGGCCTTATAAATGCAGTGAATGTGGGAAATCGTTTATTCGAAGTTCTGGCCTCATTCAACATCAGAGAGGTCACACGGGAGTAAGGCCTTATGAGTGTGTTCAATGTGGGCAGTGCTTTAGCCAAAGCTCCACCCTCATTCAACACCGGAGAGTTCATACTGGAGAAAAGCCTTACGAGTGTGGTGAATGTGGCAAATCCTTTAGCCGTAGCTCCACCCTCATTCAACACCGGAGATCTCACACTGGAGAAAGGCCTTATAAGTGCAGTGAATGTGAGAAATCCTTTCGCCAAAGATCTGGGCTCGTTCAGCACCAAAGGGGTCACGTAGGAGCAAAACCTTATGAGTGTGAAGAATGTGGGAAATTCTTTAGTCAAAGCTCTGGCCTCATTCAACACCGGAGAGTCCATACTGGAGAAAGACCTTATGAGTGCAGCGAATGTGGAAAGTTCCTTAGCAGTCGCTCTCACCTTAACGTACACAAGAGAATTCACACCGGAGAAAGGCCTTATGAGTGCAGTGTATGTGGGAAATCCTTTAGCCAAAGCTCCACCCTTATTCAACACCAGAGAGTTCACAGGAACAAGGCCTTATGAGTGTGGCAAATGTGGGGGAATCCTTTAGCCAAAGCTCCAAGCACCATTCAATACTGAAATTTCACAACAGAGAAAGGCCTCATGAGAGCGGCAAATGTGAAAGCACCCATCCCAAGGCTAATGTTGTTCGCAAAAGAAAGTTCACAAACTGGAAAGGCTTTGCACCTGCAGGGAATGTGCTCCCTCTTTGTTCAGTATAATGGCCCTAGAGAGACTTTGTCAGGGAACTGTGTGCCGGAAGTTGAACCTCGGGCTTCTGAATGTCCAGACATGAGAATCCCTGAATTCCAGGCCTGTGTGAAGAAGCTTTCATGCACTGCATTGCACAATATATACTTCCCAGGATCCCTCTCAGTTGTATTACTGCCAGTTTCTATGGCAGAAACCAGGTCGCCTCTACAATTGTAGGTTCTCAATCATCCTTAACCACCCCAGTATGCTCAGGCAAGGCACACAGCTGTGTTCTGTCCCATTCCCTAGAGGAAATCATAAGTAGTCTGAGTCTTTAAGGGGACTTCATTCCCTTCTCTGGTTAGGGCACAGAAACAAAAGCAACCAGACCTATTGCCATCAAATGCATTCTGATACATGATGACCCCTTGTGTTACACAGTAGAACTGCTCCATAGGGTTTTTTGGCTGTAATCTTTATGACAGCAGATTGCCAAGCCTTTTTTCCGTTGTGCTGCTTAGTAATCAAGCAGTTTGCTCCACCCAGGAACCTTGAAAGCCAGTAAACCAAAAAGCCAAACCAGTTGCCATGGAGTTGATTCCAACTTAAGCAACCCTATAGGACAGAATAGAACTGCCCCATAGGGTTTCCAAGGAGCAGCTGGTGGATTTGAACTGCTGACCTTTTGGTTAGCAGCTGAGCT